GAAAGGCTTCTGCACACAAAAAAGAAAAGCCCTGCATGAACACGCATGAACAGCATTAATGAAGAGAGTGGATTTTCCTGATGGATCTCATATCTATAAGATGATTTCTGTGTGCGAGGTTACAAACGTATGCTCCTTTTCTATGTGCGTTCCTCACTTAACATGAACGTGCAAGTACACATCCGGGATAGTTTAAAAGAATTCGGGTCTTATCGGGTCCATTTGGAAAAAGCACATGTATTTTTATTTGAGACCCGAGGCCGCTAATACCGAACCCGACCCGTGTCCGAGGCACTCGTAGAAGTTTTGGACCCGAACCCGCTTGGGTCTCGGGTCGGACCTCGGGTATTCGGATCCAAGTGGACCCGTGAAGACCTCTAGTTTTTTTAAAAGTCAGTACGTTTTTTTGTTGTTGTTGTTTTGAAAGAAAATTATACTTGTATTTCAGCAAGGATGCATCAAATTGATTTTATAATGTTACAAAATACTTCTATTTCAAATAATTTTTTTGTTTGTTTGTTTGTTTTTAACTTTGATTCAATCCTGCAGTACAAAATGCAGTACAGTTTCCACAAAAATACTAAGCAGCACAACTGTTTTCAACTTTGATAATAATAATAAATGTTTCCTGAGCACCAAATCAGCATATCAGAGTGATTTCTGAAGGCTCATGTGACACTGGAGTAATGGCTGCTGAAAATTCAGCTTTGCCAACACAGAAATAAACTGCATTTTAAAGTATATTAAAATATAAAACTGTTATTTTAAATTGTAATAATATTTCATAATATAATTTTTTTTCAGTATTTTTGATCACATAAATGCAGCCTTAATGAACAGAGAAAATCTTACTGTGACGAGAGGGGCGGGGCCGAGAGCCGTGGGAACGGAGCGAGGCCGGTGGAGTAATTGCTAATGCGCGACACCTGCGCCTCTCACCGGTCTCGAGTCTCACGGAGGAGCTCCGGAAGGATAAAAGTAGGAGCGACAACAGTGAAAGACGAGAGAGGACCAGGCCTGGAGTTTATTTTGTGTTTTGGTTTCGTTTGTGCGCGGCAGTCGTCCGTGAGGGGCTGTCGCGCTATTTTGTGTTTATTTTA